CGGGAGGGAGGCCGCCGAGGCCACTGCAGAAGTTGGGCAGAGAGCCGCGCGATGGCTGTGCTTCGGGGTCGCAGGTGATGCGTGGAGGGGGTCCCAGGCCGGCGGGCAGGGGCGCACCCCTGAGGCTACTTTTCGAGGGGCTGCTGCGGGGGTCCAGCCAGGCAGGGGCGGCGAGCGTCTGACACAAGTTGGGGGCCAGGGAATGTAGGGTTGGCCCCTCTGCCCGCGTGGCCGGACAGATGGCCGGCCCTCCAGGTGCAGGGCAGCCCCTGCCCACCGCACACTGCGCTGTGCCAGACCCACTGTGCGTGTGACAGCGGCTGATCTGTCCCTGGGCTGCACGATCGCCTGGCCCCTGCATGACCCAGGCGGGCAGGGGGCCCGACACATAGGAGGCGGAGGGCTCAAGCAGAGACCAGGAGTGATGAGGCCAGCAGCCACCCTAGGGGCACCCAGATGGACAAGAACTGCCTGTCAGTACAGGATGGGGTGGGGGGTCTCAGGCTGGAGCAGGGGACTTCGAGGGGCTTCTTTGCAGTTGGAGTCTGGAGCTCAGGTGGGAGCCAGACACCCTCTGTGAAAGAACTTTCTTGGCTTGTGTGCCTGGTGGGGGGTGGGGGGGACGGGGTCGGTGGTATCTGGGTCTTGCGTCTGGGATGTCTTTTCTGATGCTACCAGGGGAGGACAGGACTAGGCAGGCCCGGCTGACGCGGTCAGGACCTCCACCAGCTGGACCCGAGCTACTGGCAGCAGCTTCCTGACAACCACCTGAGGCCCTTCTACAGGGAAAGTTGAAGTCGGATTCAGCTCCTTCCCGCATCTGCAGCCCTTCATTGAGCCACCGCCCAAGTCCTTCAAGAGCCGGACACCTCACTGACTCCCCGGCGACCAGTTTGCTGATGGCCTGTGCTCCCAAGCAGTCTTCCCTGCTGTGGGGTGGGCAGGGAGAGTATCTGGTCTCCCCACGGAGACCTACCGGCCACTGGCGCCCAGAGGTGGCATCTGTACCCCTTGTGGGTCCGTGGGGTGGATGTTGGGGCAGGTGTTGCTGAGCATGAAGCTCCACTCACCCTTGGGGACCCTGCCCAGGACTCTGCACCACCTCAGATACTTAAGCATCACCCTTAGGCCACTTTGCTGGGGCCAGTCTTCAATGGGACAGCAGCTATGGGCAGCCTCTCAAAAGGGAACGGGGGCTTGGTTGCTTGCTGAGAAGCAACTCACTGTACAGCAGGGCGCCCTCCGTCCACCCCGGTGTTCCCTGCTAGCTGTCATCGAGTCAGTCCGATAGCATGGAATGCAACTGCCCCGGTGGGTTTCTTTACAGTACAAGAAAGCCTCGTCTTTTTCCGGCAGGGTAGCTGGAGGGTTCGAAGCCTGACCCTGCAGAGAGCACCTGGGCATGTTAGGGAAGCATCTAGGCGGGGTCAGAAGTCTGGCCTGCCTCCCTTCTGCCTGCCTCCTCAGCCTAGGAAGTGGACCTGGCCTGGTCTCGCCCTGCTGGGGATGATGCATTTGGTGGGAGGTCAGCCTTTCCTTAGCACAACTCTCATCACTGTAGTCGAAGTACTGTTTAAACTCCAAAGTAAACCTCTGCTACTCAAATCCACGGAGACCGAGCTCTCTGGTAGCTCCTCTGGGTGTATATGGGGTGGGGGCCAGAAATTTTGAGGAGGAAGGTGCCAGCCCCTGGGGTGCAGAGCTGCCTAGAGCCCCTTCTCAGCCGCCAGGGCCTTCTGCTCAGCGGTGGACCCTTCGCCGCTCCAGAGCCAGGCATGGGCAGGGAGCGCTCTCTCCCTCTGTGGAGAGGGCCCTCAGGAATGGCCGCACAGCCCAGGAACAGGGAAGGAAGGTATGCACTGTGCTGCACACTGGCCTGGGGAGGGGGACCCCCACAGGCCTTAGAGCTCGTGCACAGGCATGTCCAACCTTCCTGGAATGGGGAGTAGGGTGGCCCATGGGTGAGAGGTGCCAGTACTTCAGGGGGCAGAAGGGTCCAGATGGGTGCCTTGGCCTTACAGGCGGGGTTGTCCAGGCAGGTCTATGCACCCCACCCTGGTCCCTGTTCTCCCCCCACCCCCCACCCCTGCTGGGACATCTCAGAACTATGTATGCAGAACAACCAGTGGTCAAGGGACTTCTCTGGGAAGAGGTCAAATTTGGCCCGGGAGCCCCCTGTCCCGCCACCCTGTCCCCTGTGCTACCTTCCTGAACCAGGTAGCCGCTGTGCTACCTTCCTGGACCTCCCCACTGATTGCTCCTTGTGCCCCTGAGTGAGGGTCCAGACCTACGGCCCACTCAGAGAAGAGCCCTGAGCACACTGTCCACCCTCCGGCCTCAGAGACCCCTCTGTCCTAGCGCCATTCACAGTTACCCCCAGCTTGTTGCTAGTGATCTCCAGTCCCAGCCCACCATAGATGGGGGACAGCAGGCTGAGGGCCAGGCAGGCTCTGGACACAGTCTACCCACCGTGATCTCTACACTAGGGCCACTGGTCCACAGAGGAAGCAGCTGGGAGGCCGAGAGGCCTGGACCACACCCACACGAGCCTCCGTGCTTCCTCGGATGGACTTCCTGGACCTGGTCCTGTAGTTCAGCTGGCTTGCGGGGAGACACCCTAAGAAACCTGATAGGCGGGTCTGGCAGCCCGACCTAGGCCACTGCCTGAGTGGCCCTGGTTCCTGGGCCCATGCATGTAGGCAGAGCAGGGGAGCCAGGCAGCAGAGGGTACAGACCGGAACCCCAGGCAGGTTGGAGGCCAGGCCTCACACATCCACCACCAGGAAGTAGTCCCCCAGGCCAAGGAGGACCCCAAGGTGGGCGGTGCAGAGCTACCAGGACGTAGGCAATAGGAGCCTCAGCCTTTGACCCTACGGACCCCTGGTCCCAGAGGGAGTCCTCCCAAGAGGTCTGCCCATGGGACCCTGTGCTCATCCCCACGCGCCTGGGGTGAGACCCCCCCCCCCCCAAGCCCTGCACAACACAGGCTCTGGACACATGCAGGCCACAGTGGACAGTGCGTTTATTAGGGGGCAGGGAGGGGGCTAGTGAGGTTGCACACTCACCGCACGCATGTGTAGTCACACACACAGAGTGACGGGACACTTCAGACAGCACACACTCTCCACTGGCCCCACACTGTCCCCATGTCCTTGTCTCCAGCAGAGCACAGCCCATACGGCCTGGCAGTCTTGGGCCGGTCCGCCCACATTTTTGTGGGGCACTTGGCACGGGCTGGAAAGCTCCCTGGGCGGCAGGGGTCCTATTGCACCCCCAGTGTCGGCCTGCTTGCTGCGTGAGGAAAGGGCCCGTCCTGGCTGCCAGCTCCCCTCCATTACCCCAGGTGGGCTGACAGGTGATGCTGCTTGCTCGCTTGCTCCGTGCAAGAACTGCTACCTCCAGGAGTTTTGTCTCATGGGGGCCACTGTGGGGAGGACACCACTATTGATGGAGCTGAGAGCCCCAAGAGGAAGCCCCCAACCCAGACAGTGCAACATACCCTCCGGACTCAGGCTGGGCACCAGGACAGGGCTCCGGGAGGGTCCCAGGGGGGGCCTCTCTCGGGCTGGGGGCAGGAAGTCCTGTAGAGAGAGAGAGCGGCTCAGAGCAGGGTGGGCCCCAACACCCCACCCCCTTCAGAGCGGCTCTGACCTGTGCACCAGGGGGGGCCCTTTCGGGATGGGGGTGCGGTGGCAGCGCTGCACCCGCCTGCTGGATGAACTGCTGCAGGTTACATTGGCGCAGCTCCCGGTTCAACTCCTCCAGCTCCTGGGCCTGCGCCTGTGGCACAGGGGACACTCAGGGGGCTGCCCAGGCACCTCCCCTCCCCTATTGGACCTGAGCCCCCTACCCCTAGGTTCACTGGCCAGTGGGGACACTGGGGGCGGGGGTGTCTTGCTGGCTCACCTGCAGGGCATGTTCAGCGGCCTCTAGAGCCCGGCCCAGCAAGACCAAGCTTCCCTGCACCTCCACGCTCTGTCGCTCCTGGGCAGCCAGGTCCTGGCGCAGCCGCTCAGCCGCTGAGGCGTTGGAGGAGGGAGAGTCCGGGGCCTCTTCAGCAAGCTGCAGCTCCACCTCCAGGGCACGGGCTTGGGCGTCCAGGGCCTGCAGCCGGGCTGCGTGCTCAGAGGTGGCTGCACTCAACGCCTGCAGACGGGCCTGTGCCTCGCGCTCGCGGGCCTGCTCCCGACGCAGTTCCTGCTCCCAGAAGGCCTCCTGGCCCAGCTCGGCCGCGTTCCTCTGGACCCTTCTCTCCAGACCCTGTAGATCTGTGCAACACCCTGGTGTGGACACTGTGGTGGCCGCAGCATCGGGGGCCAACTCGGGATGCCCCAGGCTGAAGGTCAGCGCTTTCCGGGATTCCAGGCCCATCCCTGGCCGTGGCTTCGGGGGGAGACTGGCACGAACTGGGCAGCGTTCGGGGGGTGGGCAGCTGTCAGAGGAGGGCCTCCCAGCCAGGCTGGGCCCGGTCCGCCTCAGAACAAACTGAACATCGCTGGCAAACTGGCCGCAGGTGGCCTGAGCACCCACTGGACACTCCTGGGGCAGCATCTGCCGTTCCTTCTCCCGCAGACGCTGCACAAGGACAAAGCGGCCAGTCTGGCCTGAGAGGAGGATGGGTCAGTTTGGGTGGCCGAAGATGGATGGCTACCAGCCTCCCCAAGTCTCTACCCACTAGGCTCAAGCAGGACTAATTGGTGAACCCGACCCTGGACCCTTCCCAATTTCACTCACTTGGCCCATCGGTCTCCCAGAAGACTCACCTATAGCTTGGGCAAGAGCAATGACCACTTCTTGGCAGGTAGTGTGCTCTGAGACACCGCAGACGACACGTTGGACACCGTCCACCCACACTTTCAGCTCCATGGCAGTCAAGCCCAGCAGCATCCCTGTCTTATGTTGGGGGGTGGGGTGTGCACCTGGGTCAGGCCTGGGTTCTCCCTCAGGGGTCCCTCCCCCATTTTGGGGCCCGCCCTCTGGTGCTCAGCCCAACCTGCAGGCCAAACATTCCTGGGGTGGGGGTAGGGGGGGTCAGTCAAGAACAGCTCCCCAACGTACTCCACTGTCCTTTCCAGACAAGTCCACCCAGGCAGCCCCATTCCCCAGTTCCTCCGGCCCCGCCTCCACTCCAGGAACAAGGCGAATCATTAACCAGATCCGGGATTTCCTGCTCCCACCTCCCCGAGTCACCTGGCTCCCAGGCGCTGCCCTTCCCGCGGGGAGGCACCGAGGGCGGCCGTCCCTGGGCGCCCAAGGGCGCCCGCACCAAAACAACGCGGCCTCCTTCTGCTACCATGGGAACGCCCCCTCCCGCAGAGAAGAAGCCTTCTTAGGTGCTTGGGACCTTCGAGTCCCAACCCAGCCCTCGGACTTCCGGGCGCACTGACTCCAGGCCCGGGCACCCGCTCCACAGCCCGCACTCTCAGGACATCCCGCAAGCGGGAGAGAGCGCGCGCGCGGGGACCTCCAAACCCAGCCCAGCTCACCCTCCACTCCCGGGGCTCCCTTAGCCCACCAGCCACGCTCGCCTGAGGGCGTCCCCATGAGGGGGGCCGGACCCCGAGCCCAGCCCCACAGGGTGCAGGTGCGGCCCCCACGGGCGCCGGGCCTGCCCTCCCCCGCGTCCCCGCGGAAAACTTTCCGCCTTCCCAACTCACCACCCCAGCGGTCCCGACGCCGTGCTCGGCACTTGTTAGCTTCGGGGGTCCGCGCAGCTCACCTGGGCTCTCGCTGGGCTCAGGGACTTGGGCACCGCCTGGGCCCTTCCTCCGGCGCTTCGGGCGCCGCCGCAACCTGCCGCTTCCAGCGCCGCGGGTGTGCCCGGCCCCGACCCCATTGGTCCGCAATCCTCACGCCCCGCCTCACCGCGCCCCCATTTGTTCCCCAGCGTCTGTAGCCCACCCCGGCCCCCACACCCATTGGCCTGCTGCTCTCCACCACGCCCTATTGGCTCTCCGCCCGCCCCGCCCCCAGCAGCACCCAGGTGTAGGCGGGGTCACGGGCGCTGGGGGCGGGGCCTCCGGTCCACGCACACTGAAAGCCCGCGAACAACGCGGAAGCGGGGCGGCCCGCGGGCAGCGCGAGGCAGGTGCTTGGCCCTGCGCCCGGCCCGACTTCCCTAAGGCCGCCGTGCTTGACGGGTCTCCCAGCTAGGGAAAGGGCGCCGACCAGCGACCCCAGGACCCGGGCCCCATGCGTTGGAGGCAGCGGGGTGGGCCAGGCACCTAGGAAGGCCCCCGCTGAGCCCGCGCCTAGACGGGAATCCTGGCATGCCCACTGGGGCATGTCCACTGGGGACTCCCAGGCCTGTGAGAGAGGTGGGCCGGGTCAATAGATGTCCGGCCTCCCCACCCCACCCCCTACCCCGCAAGACTGCGCTGGGGCCCCTACACCCCCGCCGTGGACGCGGGGTTTGATGCCTCCTTTCGCCCACGCAGCCAGTAGAACTCAGGCCGCACAGGACGGGCCCACAGCGTCCCAAGACTTCACAGAGCACAGCCTCATTTTTCTCCAAAGGGTTCTACCACCTGCCTGTGCTTAACACAGTGGGACACCAGGACTCCACCACAGCCAGCCTTGGCCCCTGAAGACCTCGGGGGAGGTGGGGCAGGCTGTTCAGGTCAGCAGTGTCTGACCCAGGGCTCAGCCTCAGAGTTGGGGGGGGGGGCGCTACAGTAGCCAGCCCTGAAGGTCTAAGGGCAGGTGGCCTAGGTCTCTGACCTCATCCTTGCTTTGGGCTGTGACAGCAATTCTGAATGCCCCCTCAGCTCTAGGAGGTGGCCCAGGTGCTCAAGATGGTGTGGCCTCTTCCACATGAGCCTGAGACAGCCTCCCACAGCCTCTCCCAGAGTCCACATTCCTAGGAGGGCTGCCTACCTGCTTTCCGACACATCTACACACACACTCAGCACACACTGGGCACCGATGCTCAGCATCCTTCAATCTCAAGGCAGACTGGGTGGAGGCATGAGCCTGTCCCTGCCCCAGCAGGGCAGAGTGGGTGGCCGTGGGAGGCCCTGTTGGTCACTCAGGTCCCGGGAGCCTGCTCGGGTTGGCCAGACAGTGGTTCAGCCTTTCATGGCTTCTTAGCAGGGCTGGGCCCCAGCAGGAAGCAGACCCCTAGCTCACTCACTCTGGGCTCCAATCTGGGGTCTCCCTGGAAGCACCCAGTAACAAACAGCCCCTCCCTTTCTGGGGGCCAGTATCTCTATGACAACAGAGAGAGCCCCTCCCTCCAGGTTTGCTCACAGCTCAGGCCTGGGTGAGTGTTGAAAGTGGAGCCCTGGGACTGGGGAGGGGACTCCGAATTCCTCTCTAGGCCCTAGCTATAAGCAGAATACCAGGACCACAGGTCCTAGAGGGCAAGGTGGCAGAGAAGAGACAGCAAGGACTATTGGAGCATACGGGTGACAGCTGCCTGGCCTAGACAGGGACACAGGTGTGGATAGCCACATAGTGTCCTGTTGAGGATCCCCACACGAAGGTTGGAGACCTTAGGACCACCCCTCCACCCCTCTCCTAGTCCCCTGAAAACACCCAGGATGGACTCCAAGGCCCAACAGGACACTGAAGAGGTGGAAGAAGAGGCCCACTCCTCTCTGGCCGACTATCAGCCTTGTGGCCACCTGGGACCTCCAGCTGGCACCTCAACTCCCAGGGACAAGCAGTATATCAAGCCCTGGTCCTCACAGGTCTCCTTCCCCACCAACCTGCAGTAAGGACGTTGGGGAAGGGGTGGCAGTCTCAGGACGGGCCCAACCAGAGGCAGAAGGCAGAGGGTGCTGGCCTTGCAGGACAGACCCTGTGTCCATGGACCCCCGGACCCTGCGGCTGCTGTGGGAACAGCGGGAACTGGAGATCCAGGCCCTGCGGTGGGTTCTTCGAGGAGGCCGGGATGCTCACTACCACCAGATCCTGGAGGAAGTGGTTGGCATCCCCCCAGAAAGGTCAGGAGCCCTGTCCTCCAACCCTAACCCACACATCATTGTCCTGGCCCCGTTCCGGCCTCCTGTCTGACCCTAACCATGGAATCCTGCGAGGACTCCACCTGGTACCGTAGCCCTGACCTTTGTCCCTAGAACTAGTTCTTGCCTGACCTTAACCTCACCCAGACCCTAGACTAACCAGTACCTGGAGAGGCTGATCCAGACCCTCATGCAGCATGTCAGTAGGAGCTGAGCCCAGAGTTGACTGCATCCAGTCCTTGTCCCCACTAGGAACCCACCTAGACCTGTCCGAGCCCAACCTGATCTGGCCCTGGCTGGCCCTTCAGCCAAGGAGCCCAGTGGCTCCTAGTCCTCTTGCCTGGCTGGCCAGCCGGAGATAAAGAGGAAGCCTCTGCCCTCCCCAGCTACGGAGTAAAGACAGGAGCCGCCACAGTCCCATGTTCCTTCCAGTACACCGTCAGCTGCAACCATAGCAGCCCCAGAGGGGATTTCAAGGCTGGAAATCGTTATGGGAGTAGATTGTTGTGAGGGGACATCGGGTCAGCTCTGACCCACAGTGGCCCTATGAACAAGTAAACAAAACACGGTATGGTCCCGCGCCATCCACAGAACCACTCCTAGGCCTGAGCCCACTGATGCAGGCACTGCATCACTCCGCCTCCTTAAGGCCCTCCCCCTCTTTCATTGCCCCTCTACTTTCCTGAACATGATGTCCTGGGAGTAAATAGCCTTCTCGTTCTCCTACAGAGCCATGGGTGGGTTTGAACCGCCGATCCCGAAGTTAGCAGCCCAACGCTCGCTTACCCGATGTCCTCACCAGGCTTCTCCCTCCCCCTAGGGGCTCCCGAAACCAGGAAAGGGTGCTGCAGAACCGGGTGCAGAAGCTGACCTTGGAGCTGAAAGAGCAGAAGCAGCAAGCCCAGCTGGTGAGGGACTGAGGGGCCAGGGGCTGGGCTGGGGCAGAACGGAGGTGTGTGAAATGTGGGGGCAGGGGCTGGGTGGACGCCACCCCCACTGGCTCCACCTTTCCTCCGGCCCCGCTCGCTAAGCAGGAGAAGGAGCAGCTGCAGCAGCAGCTGGTACAGACCCTCCAGACACTGCAGAAGCTAGAGGAGGAACTGCAGGCTTTCCAGAAGTCCTGCCTCCTGCAGCTGGCCGGCTCCTCCTGGGTGGGCCGCATCCTGCGCTCTCAGACTGGCAGTGTGGAGGTGAGCCTATCCCTGGCCACCCACTGACCCCCACCCCCACAGTGCCTGCCCTCTGCCCTCCTGGGACTTCCCAGGGGCAGCCAGCCTGCTCCTCGCTGCAGACCTGACCTCTCATAGGCACCCTGGGCTGAAGTCCAGAGGAAGGGCCTTGCCCTCTGGTTTCTGGCCCCGCCGTAGGTGGTGACAGCAGAGGCTGTGATGGACACACTGGACACCTCAGAGAATGAGAACGAGAGGGCCCCCCCGCCCAAGGAGGTGAGCGGCCTGCTAGCTGCCGGAGCCTGGCCCCTGCAGGCGCCCTGGGGGCATTTGCAGGGTGCTGGTTCTGCTGCCTTCCTGGCAGGGCTTCCAGCTGAAGGATGTGGACTGGAACAGTATCGCCCAGCGCTACCCCAACCTGTTCA